TTATTATTATTATTATTATTATTATTATTATTATTATTATTATTATTATTATTACTATTATTATTATTATTGATCGACAATGAGTTGTTGTCTTGATACTGAATGATACTAAAATCATTTTCAGAGGATTCTCCCACAATACTGTACCATACAGTACAGCTTCTTCGACAAATCAAAAAACGATGCACTAAAATGCATTTTTGAAGAGGTAAGGTTGGGTCTGTAATTCCCATTGCTTCTGAGAAGTCCTCAGCTAATTTGTTTAGGACGAAGTAAAACAAATTCTCCTAGAGGGTTGCTGGGAAGAGCTCCCCAGTACTTGTTGGCCAAGCATACCATTTCATATGATGAATATTGTGCTTGTAGATATCACTCAGGTCGGTCTTTTTCGAAACGCTTTGTTAGGCATAATGGTTGGGATGTTTGGCTTTGTTCCCACACAGTCGATTTATACTAGGCGTGGGCAATAAGGTTCAGCTGATTTATTTCAACGATCATGTCCATTTTCTAAATTCTTCTGTATGATCGCATGATTGATGGGCCATTAACTGTAGGTCATTACAGTTTGGGACATCTGTACCTTCCGACGAGGTGCTGTCAGTACTATCGTCTGTGAGTACAACTCAGTTGAGTCTAAAGTTCGAGGCACGGGATGAGGGTCGGAAGCTACTTAATGCGATTTCGTTCGATCCAGGATCGACCTTGTATATTCACGAACTGACATTTATAACTGCGAAGTAAGTATGGTAATTTCCTTTTTGCTGATTTTAACTTTATCAATTTCAATAGGGTCTTTTTAAGGGAACCACTTCTTCAGCAAGCCAAGCTTGTAAACGTTAAAGATCTTTGGTTTACTGGTGATATGATGAAGGACGATCTCCTACATGTTCTCAATTCCGATGTACCATCAATGTTTCTTAGCTGTTATACTCTACGACAATCCCTTGTAGAAATAATTAAGGATTACATTAAGGTTTTGATTTTTTCGATTTTTTTTCATTTCATTGACTTTCCTCTTTCTAAAAAGAGCTCTTTTTTTTAGTTTTTCCTATATTCGCAAACATAACAAAAACAAAAACAAACAACAACAGCATACCAAAAAACTTGAAAATGAGTTTTCTTATGAGTGAAATTTGTGATGCAAAAATTTGCAGCGATTTCTTGACGGGAATACTTCACAGAAAAGTTGCCGAATAAGTGCCAGCGGAGGACTCTTGCGATATCTGTTCGAGGTAGGTTATAAGGAATGATTTCTTTACTTGTTTACTTTATTCTTAATCAGTAAAGTAACGGATCCGCTTTTGATACCAAAATTTTGTCTTTGTTGAAGAAATTCATTTTATTATTACCTAATAATATTTTTGAATTCCATTCAAAAACCCCAAATCAAACCTCCAACCCTAAATAGCGATTTCCCAGATCAACTACAACTATTTCAGTTACTGCATTCGAGGCAAAAAAACTACTCGGGAAACTGAGTTTAGTCGAACGAACTTACATTAGAGTCATCAGGATGTACTAGCTGGTGCGCCCACACTGGGAAAAAATACAAACGTTTCCTTAAGAAAAATTCTCCATTGAAAGTAGTTATCATAGTAAAGACGCGTTTGAATGGTAGTCGGATACATGGCGCATCTCAGTAGACGTAGTTGGATCATATTTTTCAGAACAGCTAGCTGTGAAGCAGCTTCATATCTCATTATTATGAATAAAACTGGGTTTTCAGGGTATCGGCGGCCGAGGAGAAACTCGTCTATCAAATGGATCACGAAAAGTTATTCTTTATGATGGAATCGAAGAAACGCCCATACACTGCTTCATTGATGCTATAGATGATAATAAGTGATTGTTCATAGAAATAACTAATAACTCAAAATACTTGTATGTAGTTACCCTAAGATTGATGTAATTACCCTAAGATTGTGTAAATAAAGAATAATCGTAAAAAATCATAGTTAAAATAACAGATTCACTCGGACTTGGGTATATACGCCATCCTGGGAAGAGGTAAAAAACGCGAACTCGTCCCATTACCGTAACACAAGGTATACTGCATAGACCCGAGGAGTCCAGGGCTTTAAATTCAGCTTTTGAGCATGGGAATTCGCCCATTGAATAAATTTCCAATCTTATGAACACCCCAAAGGTAATGGGTAAATGCTATCCCCGATTACAGATACCGCTGAGTGCTAGCTCCAAACTGGCACAATCGAGAGCTGGAAGCATATTTCTGACCCGTTCACACGGTTCGAGGGTTTCAAATAGCTCCCTAGAAGGCAAGACAGAGGTTCGCCTGGTTCAATGACTTCTCAGAAGTTCCGGGCGGGTATAGTCAAAATCATACCGTAACCGATACGGTAGGAGCTACAGTGGACTTGTAAACATGGGTCCTTCATTGTCTCGTACTCATTCGCATGCGGAACCTTCCCTCATGTTCGTCATGGGACCGCGGCTGGCACTATGCCACAGCTGTCGGACCGCCCTCATCCTGATCAATTGCTGAAAAACATGGCGGCCCTTTTTTGCTTCTGCCGCGGAGAACTGCATGCATACTTTTTAAACTTAAAAGAACGTTCTAATTTTAGGACGTACTTTCCTATATGATTTTTGAGAAGAAAAAGAGAATCAGTGTAGTAGCTCTAAATAAAGACCTCAGTAGCACACAACAAATGTAGGCTTCCTAACAGATGGTTAGTCTTCCGTGGGCGNAAATTTAACCTAAGAGAAGAACAACAGTGAATGGTAGGAGGGAGTCACCCTACCAGGGATACAGTAACGAGTGATGGTGTTTTTATGGGATAACTGGGAACTCTATATGCATTCTGAAAGGACGTAAGAGTTGTAAGAGCTAAAAAAAGAAAAGTTCACCGCTAGAGAGCTGTCGCATTTGTGTAAAGAAGACAGCGTTCATTTTTTCGTCCTTCCCACAAAAACTCTGTTCTTCAAGCATACCCGTGTTCTGTTCTGAATCTATTCATGTCGTCGATGGCATGATATAGTTGTTTTTGTGTTTATTTTGAGCGTAAACATTTTCTTGCTCATTGATCTGTGTTTGTTTTGAACAGTTATTTGGCAGAGTATCGTAGTTTCCAAGCGTAACTTCACTGAGCACCTTAGGGTGTTTTGTTAGCTGTTTGTTATATAATATTCTTGGCGGAGGTGGTATAGTGGCAAGTGGTGCACTATTGCCCACGCATGACGTATAGAAGGAACCACGGGTAGGTATCCACGCAGTCCGATCAAGCCTTCTATTCCTCCGGACTCGGTTGATTGGTACCAGAACGTCTGGTAAGATACAACACTGACTTGTACTTGCCCTTCACAAGTCATTGTATATGCCATACTTATATTTAGAACGCCGATTCGCTTCTGGATGGAAGCCGAACGGGATTTCTCGACATCAAAGATCCTACCCTTTGTGTTATATTGTAGATGGTTCTTTTCGATTATTAAGTTGAAATTTTCTTCTAAAAGTTGATATCTAAACTTATCACCCGTCCTCCTGCTGATCATCCATCTCCTCGAGCGGTCAGTAACGTCTCCATTCGTTCCTGTCGCGAGTCAGAGTAGTCCAGTGAACGTACTCGCTCGAGGGGCACTGGGCAAAACACTCCTTTCGTTCAGAGCTTCCGTGCAGAAGTCTGATTATCGAGCTGACGCCCGTCCTGGGGTTCGTTTGACGTCTCGACGGATCTCAGCAACCTTGGTCACAACATCCCATAACGTGTCCGGCTCACCTGAACTTCGATTCCATGGCGTAAGCAAAAGTTCAACCCATAACTCAAAATACGCCCTAATAATAGGACCTAAATTCAGAACGTGCCCAAAGCCCGTTTCCTAGCCGTTCAAAATCTGCTTATTGGTATATATTGCCACATAAGAAGGTCTATTGTCGGTTATTTCACAGCTTGCGACAAAAGAATGCACTTGATTGACTTCGAGCAAGTATTGAAGATGTTTTTTTATTGAAATGTGCTACAGGTGAAAGAGAGGAATAATTTGGTAGAGCTATTAGCTGTTTTCCTCCCCTGCCGCCCTTCTGCCATTCGTCCTTCTGATTCATTCGTATGTCAGCGTTCTCCTGACATTAATATTGTGCTGTTTGTTTTGATTTCGCTTTATTAGTGTTCAGGCGTGGGTGTGAGATGAATCATGATTAACCTTCCTCTGATTTGTGCCCATTTTAATTTCATTGGTGTTCACAACCATTCCTTGTGCCAGTAATTTCAACCAATTAGAAACTCTGCAGGAAACATGCAGATCCTCCTGCATTTTTCATTTTTGCCTTCACAGAGATTCATCTCTTTGTTCTATCCTACCTTACTGCCCTACTTTGAGAGCCGTCAGTAGAGTGATAAAGTTCTTGAGCTGGCTTCTTCTGAGTACTTGAGCCCACTCATTTGACTAGCATCCACCAACTCCGAAAAACTTGGCTGGCGTGGATGGGTATCATATTAGGTTTCGATCCTCAAACCAGACGTGAGGGTTAGCACTAAATTTGTCTCCAATAAAGGATGTCTCAAAAGAATCTCAAAAGAATATTTCTATTTCTACTCAGATGTTGATCCAGTCGAAACTGGGCGAGAAGGATTTCTGAGCCGCACCAACGTTTACACCCTCCACCCCCATTGCTCTCCCCTTCCACCGGCTCAACTGGTTATCCTCATAATCCATGGTCACAGTCAAATACTATTGATTGTTACACCGATCTGAGATAGAAGTTAATATGTAACGCACCTCTGAACTCAAAGTTCAGCTGAATACCAATTAGAGCTTGCAACTTTCATTTGTTCTTACCAATTTTTTATTTTTCTATAGGGTCATCAAGACCAAAAATAGCTTGGTTATAATTGTAGCTGATTAAAAAAGGCGTCAAATGGACTTTCATATTTTGTAGATATGCTAGAACAGTTGAATCATGATATCATCTATATTATATGTTCGTATATGGATCTAGCTTCACTGGCCAATTTGGCTGCCGTCTATCCCCAGTGGTCAGATATAATCTGGCGCCCACTGAAAACAAGGATTTGGGCTCTAGATGTGGTAAGTAATCAGAGACTAAAAAGTAGAAAGTGGCTGATTAATTACCTTTTTGGAAATTACTTGGAGAGGTTTTGCAGTGTTTCGAAAAGTGTAAGCTGGCTGAGTTACTGTAGGACCGCCGAGGTACTCGCCGTTTAGGTATCATTTAGACATTGCTCTCCCAAAAGCAGTCCACAATCATAGCAAAGGTTATCCCGAAAACTTACTTCAGGGGGCTGCGCAATATAGGGACTCAGATGAGATTCGAACCCGCACCTGTGCTTTGAGGGCACGGTGCCTAACCATGGAACTTCTGGGACCCCTTGAACGTCACCTCATCTTTTCCGGTACTTGACCATAACTTATCAGCACCCATACTTGTTTTTGTTTATTCGGTTCTTAACTGTTTCCAAAACAATTTACCAATTCACATGTGGAAAAATTGAGGTATTTTAGATCATCCACCCACAGAACCTTACTTTGAGGTATCAATCACTGAGTAAACCTGGGAAAGGTCTCTACAAAAGTGTTACTATAGAGGTACACAGTTTGAATTTGTAAGTTTATTTGCAAATTCCTCAAAGTAATCATTTTAGGATGAGTTTGAAACGAATTTGAGACATTGCAAACGATTACCGACAGCCCCCTGGCAACGTGAACCGTTTCGTTTGAAGGATACAACAGCTATTGGTATAACCCACGTAAGTTACTCTTGAATAACCTAACTTCTTTGACACTACTTTTTTGATCTCCATTACTTCAAGTAATATTTTCTAGTACTCTTAGTCTTTTTTAGAGTGAGTCAAAAAACTTTTCTGTAAATGGGCATTGGGAAGAGCTACCGAAAGCTTTCTGGACGGCTGTGCCATTTCACTTGATGAAAATTGCTCTGGTTGATGTTGAACAGGTTATTTGTGTTTTACTGCTAATCCATTGGGTACTGCATTGAATTCACTGTGAGTAGAGTAGTCTTTTGCCTAGTCCGATGGATCAGTCGAATTTCCTAGCAGAATCTTGTATGCGTACCTAATCATTCGTATTTCAAGACTTGAGGATTCTAGTCAGCGGATGTGATCGTGCTCTTATGGAGGCTCTAAGCAACCTTCACAGTTTCAAGATTAACTGACCATTATAAAGTTCTGCTGAACAGCCTGAAGTTATAGGAATCTATTGCAGAGCAGGTCATCCGAACTTACCAGTGGGATTGTTGCTCTGCTTTCAACGGTGAAGACGAAACAGTTGGACCTGAACTTCGAAACCAGGGGAGTGGCTCGTAAAGTGCTCCAAGCGATTTCGCTCGATCCAGGATCAACTGTGATTCTATGTGAACATTGGTTTCCATTCGCTAACGATAAGTGAGTGAAATTGAAAAGTTTTTTTTAAAAAGCTGTCGTGCGTCGATTGCTATTACTCTGGGCTTGTGAAAGTTTTGAACAGATATTTCTCCCTTCCATATTTCCTAGCTTCCTACGATCAACTTTTATTTCTTAGGGAGCCAATTCTCCAGCATGCTAACCTTGCAAACGTGAAACACCTCTGGTTTGGTGGAGATATGCTGCCCGACGATCTCTCCCTACTTCTCAATTCCGACATTTCCTCACTCTTCTTGATCAGTAGTGGCTTGCAAAAGTCCTGTGTCACCATTGTTAAAGAATACGTTAAGGTATTACTTTTCAATCAAAAAGCTTTTTCTACCAGAATGGTCTCGAGTTATTTCTTTTTCAGCGATTTCTTGACGGAAAAGTTGCACAGAAAAGTTGTCGAATAGGAAGCTACAAGGGCGTCGAGGATTATCTGCTCGAGGTTGGTTAAAACAGATCTCATTTTTACTTTTTATTAATTCATTACGATGTGAAGTGTCCACACTTTGAAACCACAGACTTCCTTTGTTTTTATTAATTCATTACGATGTGAAGTGTCCACACTTTGAAACCACAGACTTCCTTTGTCAGTTGTAGCTGCATTCATCAACTGAATGGTTAGTTGTGGGATGAGATAGTCTAGGAGCAAGAATGAAGCATGTTATCATACACGTATGGTTCGGGATCGATATCCGCCTAGGCCAAGCAGGCTTTCCATCCCTCCAGGGTCGAATAATTGGTACCAGACTCGTCTGGGAGGATAAAACCTCTAACTTGTACATCAGCTAGCCACCGCAATTGTGTTCGCCACATACGCATTCAATACGCCACTACAAGAGTTTGTTCTTCATGCTCTGAGATTATCTAAAAGTCATGCCATCAAAATCAGGCGATGGCTTGTTCGTTGTTGGCTATAGTAATGGGCTTGATTTTTTGCCTCTTTTTGTTTTTGTTTCGTTCGAGAAAAAAAATCATCATACCACTTTTTCTTCTATTCCAAATGTTTTCAGAGACTTGGTAACCGAGAAAAAACGCTTACAAACGGACCACGGAAGGTTCATCTGCATTCAGGGGACATCGAAGAGCCTTTTAACTGCTATATCGATTTTGATGTTTCCTTGTAACGCATTGCTGGTATTTGTACATAAAGCTGTATTAAACCTCGGGGACTTCCTTGTACTTATACAGTTATTGTCCTAATGACTACTGATTTCCTCGAGCCGGAGTCAGTAGCGTCTCCACTCCTACATTTCGCGAGCCATTGTAGTCCAGTGTGCCTTCCTTAAACTGTAGGACCCAACGAATGGCTACTACTTCGATGTTATCTCCAATAGGGACCGGGGACCTTCAAAAGCTTGAAATAATCGCAGACATGAAGCAATTACCGAAAATAATTGCGACAGTGACTTTTCTTTCAGAAAACAAGCCTGTTTCAGGAAACCGGTCGTGTTTTTTTTAAAATCATTATACATAAATTTTAAGTGAGCAGCATCACATTCCTACTGATCGGCCCTCGTTCCATTTGATGGGTCTTGCAAAGCCAGTCTTAAAATTCGAACTTTAAAAGGGTCATAAATCTTGACATAAACAATCTATGAAGGAGATTTTATCGTACAGCAGGCTCAATACAGAATATACTATGCTCTTCATGTAGGCTTGTAGGAAGAAAGCAATCGGCTCGGCATATTTTGGATGACTGGAGTTCAGCTAGACATCTTGTTCGACCATACTTAATCTTGAAGAGCTTTTGAGGTGGAATTTTTCTGTCATCACTACTGTATGGTCGTTCATTACCAGTACGAGGTCTCAATCTTCCTTTTCGAAATACACAAATGAGAAATTGACCGATTTATGGTTGGAATGTTAAATTTCTGGTATAATCGCTCTCCTTTTCAGTCATTCTGGGTCAGCTGTAGTTGCAGTATTGACGACTTTCCCTCTTTTTCCATTAGAAATTGGAAAAGGTTGCCACCATCGCTACGTGAAGATTCCTTTCTATGCTGATCTGCTCAGCTGAGCCGAGCAAAGTGAACCTCTCGATCGAGCGACCACCTTCAAAATTAAATCAGATGGATAGGCCTCAAAGGGGGACCAATACTCATGATCCGTGTATGGATCCAAAGAACTTGGAGGGGCCACTAATCATCTTCCTCTTCCTAATTAGATCTGAAGGAATTATATAATAAGGCGGAGTGTTTGTATGAGAATGCGCCATGCAGTCGATTTCTACGAAGATCCGAAGGCACAAATGTGAATTTGATAGGTTAACAGTGTTAAAAAATTTGGAATGCTACCTCTCCACAATGAAAACTTCCTACTCAGTGGGTCCATGGCGACCATGGGTGCTATTTTGTTGACATTTCCGCTTTTCGGTTATGTACATAACAGACTGCCTGCCGTATTCTCCGTTCTATCAAGAGAACATAAACAAACAACTTTTGACATCGATCCAAAAAAAATTGAACCTACATCAGTGATTTTTGGTTCCGAATACGCAATGAAAACAGGTCGAGTTCAACAGGTCAACCACCTAAAAAGAAGCTACCCATGAGTATTCGATCATAAACTTAGGTAGAACTGGATAATCGCTATTCATAAAGCACAGCCACATCTATCTGTTTGGCCCCCCACATAGGCGGACTATGCCTCTGAGCTGGATGAGAAAAGTGAAAAGCGTTTTTTCATGAACGCCCTCGCTTATCAGACGCTGCATCTTGCATAATACCATCGGTTTTTCGAATGCTTTTCAAAACATTGCCACACGAGAGCGGAATCGATCGTAAAATAGTTCATGCTCTTCGATGTACTAGTACCACTGCTCTCTAGCAGTTTCCCATGGTCAAAATACCCACATGAGGGCGGTCTCCGAAGCAAAATTCTCCTTCTACTACAATTTCTTGTATTTCTCTTTGTGAATTTGAAGTTCCACTTGTATCTCGATGTTTTCTGAATTTCTTTGGTGGCCATGTCACAATGCGACAAACACAAAGCAGTTGACACTTCACGCTTCAATAGGAACGGTAATGGAATAGCAACCATCCTCCAGTTGTCGACGTTAGGGAGGAGGGAAGTCATGCTCCCTTGCTGTGCTGTCATCACATTACCACTAGTTTTTCACCTAAGTGTGCCCCTTAAAAGAATTCAGATTTCCATGTAGATCGCATAACCGTTCCTGGGGCCTACTGGAACCTTATTCTTCCCCTAGGACTAAAACTTTCCTGGGTAATAGTTAGTCTAACTCCTACACGCACATCACTGCATAGAGTTCTCCATCAAATTGCAAAATAGGTTCTGTTCTTCAATGTTCTGGTAGCATGTGACAGTATAGGTTCGAGAAATTTCCGTATGTTCAAAAGATCAAAGGGAAGGAAATTTATTAATGTAAATCTTTCCTTACACTCCAGTAACCAGTATTTCTTTTTTGGACGTCTCTTGGGGGTTCTCATTTGATTCATAACTTTGTATTCTTATACGGGACGACGGTACTATATTCTATTCAAATCTACATACATTACTATTAACTTTACGTAGATATAATCAAGTTCAGTAAAATCGATTTCCTTGAAAGGCAGGTAAGTTTGAAGTAATGTGCGATGCGTTCCAGTGTGCAATGAATTGAATCCGTTATCTTTCCATCGACTTCGGAACTATCATATCTTCGAATGATTCATTCGTTCGATGGTATTATCCTAGTTACATCGGCTGCATCACATGGCAGTATGACTAATCGTCCATTGTCGTGGTCAGTTCACCTTTTGAGTTCAGTAAAGCAACTATGAAAAGGTTTAGGCAGAGGTGGGAGTGCTGGAGGAGAAAGGAGGAGAAAAGCGATGAAAGTAGTGTGGGGACAGAGGAGGTCTTCAGAAACATGAAATAGTTCGAAAGCTCAAGCTTTCTATTAGTTAGGTTAGAGGCGAGACAAGCACTGTATAGGCAAATAGCGGTACATAATCGGTTTTCCTCCCTCTTCCTTCCCCCTTTGCCTCTTTATCGCATGGTTTCCGTCTTTTTTGCGTCTTTCTGAGCTCAACCCCATTCTTCGCCATCACTTTGGACGAAAAGCCATCGTTTTTTGGTCTCTTTTTCTACATTCCCCTCCCCCGCGCTCGTCCCATGCTCCTCCTCCCTTCTATCAGCGATTACGAACACTGTCCCGTTCAATGCTAGACTGCTGGACCTTGAACTTATTACACCTCCTCCTAGTCAAATATTGCCATGCCGAGGAATCTCGAATCAAACAACTCGATTCTGGAGTCAGAATGGTCTGAGTTCCGACAGGGTGGTTGTCCACCATGTTGTGTTCCTCTCATATTGTGATGTTGGCATGAGTTTGCCCTTTGTGTATTTCTCAATGTATTGATTTGAATTCAACTGGGGCTTATCTGGTTGTTCACAGGGACGAAACATCAATTGAGTTGCAAAGGCATGCCTTTTCCCTGTCCCTATATAGAACTCGGGATTCCCTCGAAGTTTTCTCGTTTTAGCATTCTATCGTGCTCGCTACTCTCTAGGTCACCAATTTATCAAAATCTGAACCGACAAACCGGATTTTAATGCAATCAGTTGTTGTTCAGGTTAACTAGGTGATACAAAGCGAGTGGGAAGCCCCCATTTCTGTCTACAATGTTCCTCGTTACCACTTCATTACCTTTTTCTTTTTTGCACCAACCATTTTTACATTGCCTTCTTTAACACTTTCTAGATCCAGAAACTATGATACCTGAAATACAACTCCAGTCACCATGGCGAACATTTGAACAGCGATTTCAAGAGTATCGCTGTTGTGATGACAAGGATTTTAAAAGAGAGGTTCGAAGAAATACAAGACTTACTGACCTCGATTTGTTTATATCTGAAGATAATCTATTTGTGCGCCATACATTTGATTTGCACTCAGACTCTTGTAGATGATTTAGCTGGTACAATTCCTGGTTTTGAGTAGTTCATATGACTAAAACTAAACGATTTACTCAAGAGAGAAGTTGAAGGAGTTGAAGGAAGGCCATAGAATCCCTTCTACTCTATAAATCTGCTCTCTATGGGGTTCCCAGGTCTCAGGAAACGAGCGATCCTCTATTATAAGGTTTTTCGGGTTATCTGATCATATGCAACATTAATAAGACCAGCGCAGAATACTCACATCTACCGGTCAAGGAGAGAATGCTGTTTGAGGCAAATACGTTATGAACTGATAGAAAACTTGATATATCAATCGATATGCTCATAGATCTGAGAAGAAACTAAGTGCATGGCGCATCCCAAAGCGTTGAGAAGGTTGAGCGACTTGTTTGTTCTCTTTAGATAATTTTTACGAATGCATTTCAGCTAATCATTGCATCCCTTCCCTATATTATCATTTCTATATTATCGATTTTGTACGTGATGGGCGGAGCCGCTGCATTTTCTCTTATTGATGAATCGATTTCGGATCATGATTTTGCTAGTAGATGCTTTTTTGTATTCTCTACACTTACTACTATAGGTCAGTGAAAAATTTGAATGTGAGCTCTGATTTTGCAAAATATAAAGTGTTGCAGGCACACGCCTTATCAGCCTAGAGGTTATTAAGTCCGGCTGCATTCAATGTTTTCTGTGAAAAGGGGGAGGTGGGAGGGGGAGAGGGA